CGGTTTGCGATCATATCGAGTATACAGACGCGGACATACAAAGGGTGGTCCTTAACCTGGGGGATTGCGCAATGGGGCCTAACTTGTCACCGTAAAATAAACTGCAAGTTACGGAGTGTACCACAGGGTCACGGGCGGATCCTTTGGACCGATCTAAGCGAGGAGAAACGGGCATGCGACTTGGCACATTCCAGGAAGAGAATTAGCAGGTGTAAGTTAGATTTCCTGGGAGTACAGGACAGGAAGAAGCAGGTTATTATAGTCTTCTTTGCGGAAATGAAAATGTTTATGGACGGGATAACATCAGCAGTTGAGAGGGCGGTGTTCCTTGGTGGTAGGTTGCCATATGTAACAGAAAAAGGGTTTTAGTGAGATACTGTTCCGAACGTGCATGCCCCGACGGAGGGTATAAGTGATGATACAAAGGACATCTTTTACAGTAACTAGAGCATGTGTATTCGAGACATTTTCTAAGAACTGTAACCGCACCATGCAGGAACCTTAGCAGTGTTGTTAATTTGCATTCTTAATAAAATGTACTACAAGTAAACGAACTGTATTACTGTTAACAAAAGATGAAACACAATTGACCCCGCACCAGCGGGCGCCAAGGACGACATCTGGTCTTTCTGAGGGACAAGCAAGCTGCAGGTCACTGGAAAACCCAGAACGGAGCAGGAAGTGTCCCGCTGCGTTTTCTGGGAAATTCAATGCTTAACTTCGGCGGTACGATTCTTTGAAAATTTGAGACTTCAAAGATACGAGTCACAATAATTTTCGGAGGGGCGTACCGAGCGGTCGTTAGTGTACCTTCATTTATTTGAGAGGTGTCAGAAGGACCGTCTTGTACTTAGGCCCAAATTTACATGGATCTTGTTAGGGATTGGCTGAATGTAAATGAGAGCAACACCCAAATTTTAAGTTCAGCCAATCAGCAAAATTCCAGAGGAGAAGAAACCGGGCGTTCCCGGAACCGTCAAGACTTCTGCCTCTCCAGAGCAGTCAGTCATCAAAAGGGAGTAACAGGAGTGAGTCGTCTAAAGGGAGCGACAGGAGTCAGTCGTCTTAGTGAGTAACAGGCGTCAGTCGTCTAAAGGGAGTAACAGGAGTGACCCTCCCGGACGTTAAATCGGTGTTGGCCGAGTCCGGTACACAAATTCAAAGTGCTACAGCCTTGTAATATGTAATTCTAGTTCACATCTACAGTAAAGAGCAACAGTGTTGGTGAAGTGTGTGTTTTAAGTGTTCTCTCTCTCCTTGTGTGAGCAAGGCCCAGAAGTCGCCCTGAGACAGAATCTTGTCCTACCGTTTGAGCAGCCGAAACCCCAAACGCCCGCCCATCTGCATCCGCCCCCTTTATTTACTCCGCTCCAAATTCGTGGATTTCATCCTAGTCCACTGGCGCCCATACAAATTCAAATTCAGAGTAATCCCACACCCTACCCTGAACCAGACGACAACAAGGAACCGGCGGATGAAAGTGGAGACCAACGTAAGGGCACTAAGAGGACAGTTATAAGTGGCGACCAACTTGTGGGGTTTGAAGCCTCACTGAGTGGGTCAGTTATAGAACTGCGTAACAGTATCGCCAGGAGAGCTCAATGCAAACGTAACGAGAGAAGGTGTTTTCAAACCGATAATTTGTAACGAGAGTTTACCTGAAACTATTATTGTTGCTGGGCATGTAATAATGTTTTCAATGTCAAGAAGTCTGAGTGCAACGTTCATGAATATTTGTGAGCTTTCCCTGATGGGAGGGCACAGACTGATCACACTGAACATTTTCTTATGGTTGAATATGTTAGGGATAGACTGTCTGTAAGTAAACGTGATGGTTTGTTGCAGCTTGCTTCCTGCTGTTTGCTTGCTTGACTTACTCTTCCACCCTAAAAATAGAGGCAGTATGTTTCGGTAAACTTCTTTCAGTCTACACGGTGATATATGCCAGAAGATAATACAGTCACTGCTATGAGAGCCTGAAACCCAAAAATGGGAAAGTCGTATTAAGTATGTTTTTGAAGCACTTCCTATTTCCGATTGTTGCAGTGACCTACTGCCGTACCCACCTTCTTATTACTGACAAGTCATTAGGCCGAAACTTCTGAGAATGGAAGGGGAATATGAAGTCATATCCAGAGATTTCTCTACGGACTGCAGTACGCGATTTCTTTGATGAATATTGAGACGAAAATGACCTTCGATAAAATTTAGTAGGACGCAATTTTCGTGGAAAACGCAGTTAAAATTGAATGCAGTGCGGTATCACAGTATGTGTTTCCCATATTTAAATTTTCCGCGAATTCTGTGCGTCGAAAATTTTATCGGGGGATATACAGGGTGTAAATGTTACAACGCTGTGGTAGATAAATGGGTTCAATCTGATCAGATTTTGTTAGTACACCCATGTCCGGAAACGCTTTGTTTACTCGCTGTGGTCTCTGAAATGTGAAGGAGGACCCCCTTGCCTCTTACCTCTGCGGCTTTTTTTTTTATTGCAAGTGGGGTGGGACTAAGTCCCTTGTACTGCGGCCACTTCTGGGCTATTGTACCAGCCCCAGATGATAGTTGAGGGTGATTGTGGAGCAATTGGTGGAATCAAGATTGGCAGGGGAAACCGAAGTACTCGGAGAAAACCTGCCCCAGTGCCACTTTGTCCACCACAAATCCCACTTGACTAGACCCCGGGATCGAACCCGGGCCGCCGCGATGGGAAGCCAGCGACTAAGCGACTAACCGCATGAGGTATGGCGTGGCCCTTACAAGGGACTTAGTCCCACCCCGCTAGAAATAAAGAAAACAACATATTTATTTACACTGTATACACGCGAACGTTAATCCACAATCGTGTGGTGAAGCCCACAGGCGCAAATATCGGGGCATTCTATACTATATACGTGTATATATCCCCCAAGGGAACACTGAAAATCAGTAACTAGATTGAAGTAGTAAGCCTAAATGAAAATATGACTAAAGAATATAGAGTGATTTCTTGGAAATAACTTCTTCCCGATGGATGACAGCCGTGACATGATTTTAGGATCCTTGACCTCCCGACTGCGTGTGATGTAACAAGTCCCAACATGACCCGAAGAATGTAATATTGTTGTCAGATCTTCCTATCATCTCCAGACGTCGGAAATTTGCAGTCGCAAGTTCAGGGTCATGAAGTCCATCTGTTTTACGAGCAAGGGCACGTCATGTCTTCTGTAAGCAACTTTACGGAAGAACTGTCCTATGTAAGTTATGTTTGGCATGTTAATACTTGCAAGTGTGTTAAAAATAGATTCAAGTAACTTCCAAATGATGACATATTGATTACGTCACTAACTGGTGATGCACCTTGGTTCATGGAGTACACCAATGCTCGCGTTTAAAACGACTGGCAGTGCGCATTTCCAACACGGGACAGTTTAAATGACATCTAAAAGTTTGTGACGATGATATAATAATACAGTTATTGTGTTTCTGGACTATATTTCTGTCGTCATCTTCAGGTAAAAACCTACTGAGTTGGACCCAGTCGATAATGCTAGTCCCTGTCTCCGGACATCAGCAAGTCAAAGTCAATGTCAAAGTTACTTTACGGCTGGCGGTTTACCGCCAGTCAATTCATCTTGGCGTCGAGCCATGCTTCTGTAAATTTATACCAGATTGGATGGATCTGTAGCGATCTGCGTTGGTTTACCTTCAAAGGGCCCAAGTATTTGTGGTTATAGATGGTAGAACAAAAAAGAAAGAGGCCGGTCACAGTAGCCGCGCGGTCTAAGACATGAACTGTCTTCTCTCGCTCGGGCGCTGGGATCGTGGGTTCAAATCCCACTCAAGGCATGGATATTTGGTGTGTGTATACGTTTATTCTGTGTGTTGTGCGGTGTTTAGGTAGAGGACTTGCGACGGGCTCATAATTCGTCAAAGGAGCCTTACCGTCTGAAAAATTATTACGAAACTGAATAAGAGGCCAGGGTCCTGAATGGGCTGGAGGGTAAAGGTAAAAGGTTAAGTTGTCCCTGTGCTTAACTAATTAATCACTACACCATGAAGGCGTATGAGGGAGTGCATGTATAGATCCACATTTTCTTGACCTCGGCCCCGGCCGCTGTACCTCCGGAGAAAGAGCCTCCGGTACCCATTGGATAGGAGGTTGGGTGGACCCCAGAGCCGGTCGGGACGACGTGGAGAAGTGAAAATTCTTGACCCTACCGGGACTCGAACTCCGACCTCTTGGTTGTCCAGTCCGTAGCCAGTCGTTATATCGACTACGCTATCCCGGCTCACGAATGGGCTGGTAAGAGCCATTGAAAAGAGAAGAAGAAAAAGTGAGAGGTGACATGCCATTGCGCAGCAAATATAGAGATTGTTTGAGCATCCATTTGCATGCCAGTGTGCAACCCACATTACTCATCTGTTTTGGTGTTGTCTGTTGCCCCAGTTTCATCGGACCATACAATGTTGCGGGCACGGTTCCTGTTTCCTTCATCAGGTGGTAGAATGAAACAACGTTGGTCCAGAGTTGGCCAGATTTCCACCGCGGCTGCCCGGGTTCGATCTAAGGTCACGTCTTATGGGATTTGTGGTGGACGAAGTGACACTGGCACAAGGCTTCTCTGAGTACATCGGTTCCCTCGGCCAAATTCTCATTCCACCGACTGCTCCACATTCAACATCATCTATAGGCCAAATAGTGGCCAACGTACCAAGTGCACCCAGTCTCACCCCACCCCCAAGAAATAAAATAATCTTTGGTCCAAGTTTTGAGACTAGCTCTATGAAGGGGCCCAACAGGGTAGGATTCCTTGCTTAATTCTGTGACCTGTCGAAGGTGACAAAACTAGGGCTTGAGACTGCCAAGGGCCACGTTTCTTAAACGTGGTTTTGAAAGAATTGTCTTTGATTTTCAGAATATCAGTCAAGAAGAATTGTTTATACACCATCAGAGACCCCGAGGCTCGAATTTCTCATATCAGAAGATTAAAAAGTTGTTTTATTTTGATGTTTTGCAGGCGGATTCTGTTCATTTCGGTCTTGCTATCCGGAATGGTGCGAGAGCTGTACGGAGTTAATGGTGTCAGACGCCGATCCTGGCTCCATGGAAGTTGTTCCCTTGATGGGTCTCCGCAGCCTTCGGATATCAGCGACTTCTCAGCTTCCCGAGGTGGGTTAGTATTGTTACGAACAGTGTTTACCCACTGTTGACCACGATTCTAAACAGATCTGTCCATAAGGTTCACACTGGATGTTCATTTCTGTTGGACCCAGCCGAAATGTACGCACTGACATGCTGTTGATGTAAATGTGATCGGGCACACAGTTCTTGATCTGATTCATCAGAGAACTTTCTCTCAGCCTTGTAGCCCCTGTAATTTGTCTAACAGGACGCTGAGGAGAATATTTGGACCGAAGAGAGATGAACTTGCACTCTTCTTCAAGTATAATTAGAATGACCAAGTCAAGGAGGATGAGGAGGGCAGGGCATGTAGCACGAATGGGTGAAAAAAGGAATGCATATAGGATATTCGTGGGAAAGCCAGAAGGAAAGAGACCACTGGGAAGACCAAGACGTAGGCTGGTTGTTAGTATTAAAATGGAACTTAGAAATATAAAGTGAGAAGGTATGGATTAGTTTGATCTGGCTCAGGATAGGGACCAGTGGAGGGCTCTTGTGAACACGGCAATGCATCTTCGGGTTCCATAAAATGCTGGGAATTTTTTGAGTGGCTGCGTGACTGGCGGCTTCTCAAGAAGGGCTCAGCCCCATGAGTGAGTGAGTGTTGGTGTCTGTGTTTGTATGTATATATATATACAGGGTGTCCCAGGAGGAATGTGCCAAACTTCGGGAGGGTGTTCCTTATGTTAAAGTATGCCGATATAACCCAAAACACCTTTGTCCAAAGGTTACGGAGGTAATGGCCCGAGAAAAATGTGGTCTTCTGGCGGGTCCACGCACTATACCTGTCAGCTGAGACGTCTTATCTATGTTTGTCCTTGAGTGTGGTGATTCACACTAGCCGTTAGCTCCCTTCAGTATACGTTGCGGCCGCGTTTTGAATGGATGGTAGGTTAATTGTGCGGTGTTGCTGAAATTCCTTTTGTGTTTTCAAACGTGGAATATTGTGATATGCATTTTGTATATGGATTTTGCGGTGGCAATGCACGTGCTGCTGTTGAAGAATACCAAAGGCGTTTTCCCGATCGAAGTATTACATGTCGAAGTGTATTCACGCGAATTCACCAGACATTGCGTGATACTGGTTCTCTTCCGANTCCACATGAGATAATGGTAACGAAATTCCAAAAGAGATTTTCCGTGAATGTATGTTTAGTACAGTTATGTAGTTGGCTTATACCAGAATGCGCAGTCAGCGATGTTACGTCAGCGCTTGCCAGTCATGTGTCATGTATAGTGCTTGGAAACCTAAGGACAATTATGACATGGCGAGCGAGTATTTTGTACTTAAATTTTATGGCTTCATGTCACTCACAAGTTAGTTTGATGTTACGTACATTATTAACATTACAGAAACCACATATTCCTGCCAGTTTTAATATGTATTTTGTAATCAACAAGTGTAAACCGGTCAAAGTTTCACACTTCTCTGGCCATTATCTCCGTAACCCTTCAACTTTGGACATAGGTGTTTTGGTTTATATCGGCGTACTTTAACATAAGGAAGTTTGGCACATTCGTCCTGGGACACCTTGTATATTTATTAAGTATATAAAATGGTTAAAAATAGGGTAAAACTGTCTCTGTGCTTAATTAATGAAGCGGCATACCTTGAAGATGTATGGTGGAATGAAGGTATAGCTCCACTATTCCTGACTTCAGTGCCCATCCGATAGGAGGCTGGGAGGGTCCCAGAATCGGCCTGGATGCTGTGGAGTATAAAAAAACATCTGTTGCCTATGCTGGGAATTGAACCTTGGCCGTCTAGCACGTAACACATCACTGTACTGAGTTATCCCGGCTCCTATGTGTTGTATGTGGATAGATACTACCAAAATTTAGCACCCAGTGGACTGAATGATTAATGAGAGGTCAGTTTGAAACGCATGGCAACCCATTGTGGTTTTTGGTATTTTGGTTCTAGTCCTTCATATGTGCTGCTCTGAGAAATACATCATACTTCTGTGTCATGTATACCTTGTTTGGAATTGACAGATATTTGATCTGATTCTCAGGACAGCTTAATTCAAAACGTATCAGTTACAGGACCTTGAGCAATACAATGTAGAGGAATTTGTGTACAACAAGTGTTGAAAACTTGACACACATACATATATTATATTCCCCGGAACTGAAGTTAGTCACAAATGACTGTAGGATGTGGAACAAGGTATAAAAACTGACAAAAAATACATGTGTAGTACAACTGAAGCTTTCACGTCACACACTCATGGAGCTGAGCCCTTCTTGAGAAGCCGCCAACTGTGCAGCTACTGAAGAATTTCCCAGCATTTTATGGAACCCGGAGGTTCATTACTGTGTTCACAACAGCCCTCCACTGGTCTGTATCCCGAGCCAAACCAATCCAATCCATACCATCCCATCCTATCTCTCTAAGATCCATTTTAATGTTGTCCACCTACTTACGCCTTGGTCTTCCCAGTGGTCTCTTTCCTTCTGGCTTCCCACCAATATCCTATATGCATTCCCCATTCGTTCTACATGCCCTGCCCATCTTATCCTCCTTGACTTTATCATTCTAACGATACTTGGAGAAGAGTATAAGTTGAAACTTTCACATAAAAAATGAAAATATAAATTATAAAATACGTATACAGAGGGTTCACATAAGGTATGCTGTTTATAGAAACCTTTGAGTTAGACTGTGAATGAATTTTAGATAACAGGAATTCTTCAACAGAATAGCGGGGTATGTATTTAAGTATCTTTTTAGTGTTACTTTAAATTGTGTCCCCATTCATAAGACTTCTAAGATTTTGATGCCGGAATAGTACGAGATGGTATTGGAAATTTCCCGGACTGATATTGTTGCAACTGCCTCGTTGAAAGAAGATGAGAGGGAAGCCCAAGACCACACTTCCAAAAGCCTATTGCATCAGTCTGCCACGTGACACTGCGCTGTGAACAAGCATTGATTTTACTCGAGTGCTTTTTCGACTTCGTGTTTCGTTTTGTCTGCGATGGATGGCAAAATCGAGCATCTTGTCTGCATCAGGTTTTGCATGAAGCTCGGTAAATCCGCTACCGAAACCCTGGAAATATTTCGTGAAGCTTTTGGAGAACATTCCTTAAGCCGGACAGTGGTTTTTTTGAATGGTATTCACGGTTCAAGGCCGGTGGAGTATCAGTTGAAGATGAACGCTCGGAGCGCAAAGACACCAGAAAAACGACAAGAAATCGTGAAAATATCCGAGAACTCATTCACGAAGACCGTCGCCGAATAATCCATGAGCTCTCAGACACCGTTGGGATCAGTTTTGGAGTCTGCCAGGAGGTCTTAACAGAAAATTTAACATGCGCCGCATTGCTCCTTCATCACGACAACGCGCCCGCCCACACGTCTCTGAAAACCAGTCTGTGACTAACAACAACATGGCTATTGTTCCCCATACTCCCTACTCGCCTGACTTAGCCAAGTGTGATTTCGTTTTGCTTCCCAAATGAAAATGAAACTGAAGGGACGACATTTTGAAGCAGGGTCTGACATCCAAAGGGAACCACAAGCGAGACTCAACAACATTAAGGAAAATCACTTCCACGGTGCTTTTGAAGCGTGGAAGAAACGATGGCATCGCTCTGTACGTTCCAAAGGAGACTGTTAGCGATAGCACTGTAGTAAGTGTGCTTAAGAGTGACTGTAACAAAAGTGCTGATAGATCCAATCATCCGAACTAGAACCCGTCATTATTGTCACGCATACCACCCTACACGTGACAATATTTAAGGAAGGTGTATAAACCAGTAATTGAACTGCAGGTTTTGCGTAATCAGGTGTAATCAAGAACTGAGAAAGTTATTGTCACGTGATAGAGTGATTATAGAAAGGGTTTGGATTGGTAATTGGATTTATTGAACACTTACAGATCGTAACTACAAATAACTATACCGCTGTCACTAATTCACACAATCTGCAGTTTACTACTGCACGTACTAAGTCTTCTCAGTCTGCTGTATCTTCACCAGCCGTTGCCTGGTGACGGATTTCAACCACGTCTTCCGTTCTCACGTTTTACGGGCTAGCGACTGTCTCACGACTAACTCATTGTCAAAGTCAAAGTCAGAATTACTTTACGACTAGCGGTTTACCGCCAATCAGTTTATCTTGGCCTCAAGGCCCATGAGACCCACGACCAGAGATTTTTTTTTTCCACACTCTGAACTCTTGCGGTATTGGTCCTTATGTAATATCCTTTCTGACGAGAAGATGGGTTTGTCTGTTATGAATATGCTTGGCCTTTCTTCAAGTGTATATTTCGCACATATAGCATTTTATTGAAAAATTCTTGCTTTTGCACTGCGCACAAGCCCTCTGTCACTACAGGCTTTGCAGAGCAGATCATGCCTATCTTGCATACCTTATGCTACAACGGCAGCATGGTCACTTGAACGGTCGTAAGCTTGATCACCTTCAAGTTTAAACCTCTTATAACCATGTGTAACTCATTGTTAGAGTCGAAATTACGTTATGACCAACGATCAGACGGCCGGTCTGTCTTGGAATAAAGCACCCATCTGGGGTCAGATATCTGTCAGATATTTGCAGGCTTGTTGATGTGGGGCGCTCTCTCTGACGAGAGGACAGTAACTCATGGCTCCAGCTGCCCTGCTTTTAACATCTTGGCATGGACCGCACAGAAAACACCATTCCTCTGTTGCGTTATCCAGTTGTTGCCATACAACCATACAACTGTTAAGCCGAGGGCACACCAACGAAATTGGGAACCGCAACGCAACCGCGATTTCCTAGAATTGTTATCAGCCTGAGCTGAACACATGTTACTGAATGGAGCAGCGCAAATTGAGGAAACGGCAACGCAACTCGCGGAAAGACAGAAAATCAATTTCCACGCAACGCAGCATGCCAGTCATCTCACAATTGCGTTACCGCGTGGTTTCCCAGTGTCAGCTGTTCTATAACGCGCGTCTGTGATTCATTTGTTTGTTAAGATGGCACGAAAGGTTGATGAAGCTGCTAATTTTGTTTTTGTGCAGTTAATTGAGCAAGAGCCTGGTCTGTTTGACAAACGCCACCCTGACTCTGCTAGGCAGGACAAAATAGATTTGGCCTGGGAAAGAATTTCACATGAGACTATGAGACTAAGGAGTTTGAATGGCCGCGCCATAGCTGAATCGGTTAGTCGCCGGCTTCCCACCGCGGCGGCCCGGGTTCGATCCCGGGTATGGTCAAGTGGGATTTATGTTGAACAATGTGGCTCTGGGGCAGGTTTTCTCCGAGTACTTCGGTTTCCCCTGTCAATTTTCATTCCACCAATTGCTCCACAATCACCCTCACCCATCATCTGGGGCTGGTACAATAGGCCAGAAGTGGCCGCAGTACAAGGGACTTAGTCTCACCCCATTAGCAATAAAAAAAAGGAGTCTGGATCCCTCTTTCGAAACAATATAAGCGCCTCATTTTAAACTGTCACGGGAGAACGGATGCACCCAATGTTTTCTTTTCCTACTATTGTATTTAAGCATACTGTTGCATTAATACATCATTTATTTCACATATATTTCCGTCTTAAATGCAGCTTATTACATAGTCTCCCTTCTTTCACATTACATGTTTCGACTATATATTGCCATCATCAGGTGTCTTCTATCTTGCTAAAACAGTTGCACTGTATGTCAGAATTTCCTGGTTAAAATAAATGTATCTTAATTACATAAAACAAATTCATTAACATCCCAATAATTTCCTTATGGTCGTCGTCCTCTCTTCTCACGCCGTCTCAACCGGTCTCAACTACCGCCATATTATGGCAGGATCAGTATTATTATCTCACACCCCAGAAGGTAAATGCACGAAATTAAGAAATGCAATCATGCAATGCATCGGACGAACATACCCACTCATGATGATGTGAGCAACTAATCAAGTGTAAGTTTCCTCAACGTGCGCCTGCTAATCTGGAATCCAGTTGCCTGCTTGGAATCGGCGACGTTTCTCAGGAATTTGCGGTTGTGTTACGGTCACCAGTTTCCTTGGTGTGCCCTCAGCCTTACGCAGCAACGGGTCTACATGGCACAGTATGAAGAACCATGGTCGTAGCAGATAGTAAAAGATGGTGGAGTGACTGGAGCACGTAACTAGAATAGCTGAAATGAGAATAGTTTAGAACATTTTTGAAAGTAATTCAGAAGGCAGAAGGAAACTGGAAATTCGCAGAGTGAGATAATTGGGAGATACAGAGAATGATTTATGAGAGCTGAATTTTAAGAGATTGTGGCAAAGAAAAAAATTGGAACCTGTCGTAAAAGAAACCAGTGTTCGTAGAGGACTATAAAGCGAAGGAGTAAATAAGTAATAAAATAAGAAGAATTTAAAGGTGTACTGCTATTTATGGTAGATACATTTTGAAATATGGAACCCTTAATTATAAATTTTGAAATTTCTTGTTACGCAGTCTTCTCCAGCTTGGGTCCAAAAGTCCTCCTCAGCATCCGGTTCTAAAACACCCCCAGTCTTTACTTCTTTTGGCATATTTTGGACTTCATCCATCGTCTGGTATGTAAAAGACAAAAGACCACGACGTTTCGGAGACTGGATCTGTCTCCGTCTTCAGGTGGTTAGGGTAGCTCTTTCTAACGGGCCCAACTGAGTAGGTTTATCCTTCCCTACCCACCTGAAGACGGAGACAGATCCAGTCTCCGAAACATCGTGGTCTTTTGTCTTTTACGTACATACCAGACGATGGATGAAGTCCAAAATAAGCCAAAAGAAGTACAGTATACACCATCCTCGGAATCCTTTCAAGTCTACCCCCAGTCTTCATTCTTCCCTTACTGCAAGAGACCAAATTTGACACTTATACAGAACAACGAGCAGAATTAGAGCTTTGTGTTTTTTAATCTAAATGTTTATAGATGTCAGATGGGTAGACAGAAGGTTCTGAACTGAATGATAGGAAGGATTACATGAGTTTAATCTCTTATGCAGTGCTTAATAAATTTAGTGATCTGAACGTAGTACCCATTTGCTTGGAATACCACCAAAAAACTTTTCCCAGTCTCCTCTATCAGCTCTGCAATCCAGTTAATTTCTTGAAGAATGCCGTCTTCTGGGATGTGGCGCCGTGTAGATATTGTGTAAACCGACGTTTTGGAGGAACGTATCGCCTCAATATTCAGGGTATAGAAATCCGGATTTTTATACCCTGAAGATGGAGGCGATAAGTCCCCCCGAACCGTCGGTTTACACAGGATCTACACGGCACCACATCCCATAAGACGGCATTCTTCATAGTCACCGCCGTGAAAATCTCAAATTTTACACAGGTAATGCCTACATTTTCCGACACATGCACGTGTATATATCACATAAATTGCTTTGCGTAATTGGCTGTCTGCTCTTAACAATGAAACGGTAAATTTGTCCATGTGCTTAACAAATTAAGCACTAAGCCATGAAGGTGTATGGGGGGAAGGGTGTAAAGATCCTTACCAGTGCTAAATGAAATTGAAGACGGCTGACAAACTGAAATATGCCTGTTAATGAATTTAAAAGAATTTGTTGTGATAGCGTAAAGATTAGTATCATCGAATAATCTCAAATTTGACTATTGGGCATGAATTTTGTGAAGACCCATTTAATGTCACTAAAAAGATGTAAAACTATCCCTGTAACAGGCCGTAGAGGGCCATAGGATTGTGAGACGTTGAGGCTCCCACATTTTCTAGACAATCGGCTCGCAGATGACGGTGAGTTTAAGTAAAGCTATCCCGGTAACAGGCCGTGGAGGCCCATAGGGTTGTGAGACGTCTCACAACCCTATGGGCGGGCCTCTATGGCCTCTGAAGAGGGATAGCTTTACCTTTTTGTATTTCACAAAATGTGGAGCTTACCAAGATCTGAGGCAAAAATATTTTTATTATTTTGTATGAACAACTTCCCAGTTCCCCCTTTTGTCACTAGGAGGACTGTATTTGCTACTTAATTATATTTCAGAGGCAGCAGCAGCGTCATCTTGGCTCTTCCTGCTCATCCGCTGCCACGAGCAGCACCGATTCTAGTGACTCTGATGATCGGTGCGATTCGTCATTGGGCTTGGAAGAGGACAGAGACTTTCCAGTCTTGATATTACCTCATCTTTTTCTTGGAAATGCAGCTACATCTGAGGACAGCGAGGCTCTAAGCCGACACAGTATAGAGGTAAGTGCATTTGCTTTGTATGGTAGAAAGGTGTAAGGCAAAGATATCCCTGTAACAGGCCGTGGAGGCCCATAGGGTTGTGAGACGTCGAGGCTCCCACATTTTCTAGACAATCGACTCCTAGATGGCGGTAATGTTGTCAGCCTTATGCGCCGGCTGGCTGCCCCCCCCCCACTCATTTCTGTTAGAGACTGAGTGGACCCCAGGGCCATAGTGCTGCTGGAAGGATTAGTTAAATTGAAAAAAATCCACATCATCGGGACTCGAACCCGCAACCTTTCTGCTTGTAGCATAGTGCCTCAACCAGCTATGCTACCACAAGTCAAACTAATGACCATATGGCAGGTTTGATTGAATTAAGTACAGTAGAACTTGGTTATAACGTCATCAAAGGGACCTAAAAATAGTGTCGTTATAAACGAATGTCGTTGTAACCGAAATGGGCACTTCCACAGTAGCCTTATGTTAGTCACGTAAAAATCACGTTAAAATGTTGCATTTTTTAGTGAAATACGTAGTTAAGTACAGACTAACGTAACATTAACGTGGAATTGCCCAAATGTGTAATATCAAAGACATATTACAGCGCTTTTCACTGACAATACACACCGCACTAATACTGTATATTAAAGGTAGGCCTACTCACCAAATTACAGTAGATTACATCAATTGTTGTGCCTTACTGTACCTAGATACGAGTACAGTAATCAGTTATCTTCATCTGTTTCCTGTTACTTGCCCAATACACACTTTATAAATTACGTTCAATGTCCATATCAGAGAAATTCAGGAATGAAAATGACGTTACATACGAGGTTGATGCATTTGTGCATGTCGTACTAAGCAAGGTATAAAAACAGTTGCTTTATGAGGAATTAGTTCGTACCATTGAATATTTGACGCAATAGACAAGGTGTCGCAGAAACCGATGTTGCTATAACCAAGTTTTACTGGATTAGCCATCAGATTGAAAACTGTTTCAAATCAATGGGATATGATATGGATGAGTTTAACTTCCGTCTAAAATAAGGGTTGTAACGGACCTTATGGACGAAGATGGAATTTGTCCAGGTTCCTGATGACTTCATGTGAGATCCTTTGGGATGGTTGAAATGGCATTGCAACAGGGTTTCTCCAGGTTTCTTCGGCAATTTCTTCCAAAAGTAATTTCAGAATTGCCTATTTGATACCGTCCGCTGATTCATGCTGAATTGTCCCAATACAGAAAAGAGCCCTTGATTTTTATTATTTTGTTTTCCATCAAATCAATTTGATGTACAGATATACAATATTGTCATGTGTTAGTGACTAGATGCAGGGTTTGGATTGGTAATTGGATTTATCGGACACTTATAACTAGTCATCATTCCTCCATTTAATGCGATCTAGAGCTTTCTCCTTCAAATGACAGTATCCTCTTCTGTCCCCAAGGTCATCCAGCATCTTCTTACGTCTTCTTCCTCGTCTTCTTGTCACTTCTATCCGCCCATCTATCTTTCCTTCGATAGCTTCTTTTAGAAGGCAGTTTCTGCGTAAAACATGACCAATCCAATTAGCCTTCCGTTTTCTTATTTCATGTAGGATATTCCTCTGCTCACTGACTCTAATTAACACTTCTTCATTTCTCACATAATCGGTCCAACTGATCTTCTCCATTCTTCTCCAACACCACATTTCGAAACTTTCCAGATGTTTCTGATCTACTGCCCTAAGTGTCCATGTTTCAGCCCCATACAGAGCTATGCTCCAAATGTAGCATTTCACTAGTTTCTTCCTCAAATTTAAGTCCAATTTGCTGGTAAAAAGATTCTTCTTCTTGCTAAATGCAGCTTTTGCCATGGCAATCCTGGATTTAATTTCACTAGTACACCTTCCATCATCTGTTAACAAGCTACCCAAATATTTAAAACATTTCACATTCTCCAGTTGTTTTTGGTCTATCTTTATTGTGACTGGGGTTGGTTGTCTCGAAATTTTCATTACTTTTGTTTTTTCCACATTCATTTCCATGCCATAGCACCTTCCAATTTCAATTAGTCTATCAATCATGCCCCGTAGCACAGTTTCTTCCTTAGCCATTAACACAAGGTCATCTGCATATTTCACAGTTTGAATAATTTGCCCTCCTACTTTGAAGTCTCCGAGCCCATCCAGAGCTTCCTTGGTAAGGCATTCGCTGTACAAGTTGATATAACTAGTAACCACAAATAATTAATTAGAACACTATTGCTGATCTACACAGTTAGCAAGTCACTAATCTGTAGTCTGCTAGTTCTCACTGGGCGTCGCTAGGTTACGGCTGCTGAGGATGGAGATTCTTCTGCTTCCTTTCTCACATCCTCACTGGATGGCGGCAGCTCGTGACATCACTAGCCATTCTTGTATACTCTGGCTCTCTTGGCCGTCTGGCACCACTTCCAACACCCTCTCTGTTGCTGTGGTACTTGTGAGCGAGCCATTGCTTAGTAATGGCTCTATTACCTAGCAATGGACTTCTCTTGATAAACTATTCTGTCATGTCGCATTCTGTTAAAAGTTCTTAGCATTTTTCTAACTTAATTGTTCTTTTCTCTGCATTGGCCGATGTTTACACCTCTTGTGGTGTATGATAGCCCTGATGAGGCAGCACATTATCACATCTTTGGTCTTGATTTCTTATATGGTTAGTCATAAATCAAGGAGGACATTTAGTGTTTAAAATGTCTTCTATAACAGATTTCATCATTATCTGTTAAACGTTTTTGGACAGGAAATGAGAATGGATTGGTGGGTTTGACATGTGAGTGTATGAAGCACAGAAGGACCGTGACATGTCTTTGCAGTGTTCCACTCTGACATGTTTTCATTGCCTGACAGCGCGTGCGGTACAAACCGCGCACTGACCTTCCGTTTGCCCAAATCCTCGGTCAAAATTTGATGCACAGTACTTTCTGGTATTCCCAAAAGATCCTCGATGAGTCTTGCAGAAACACATCTGTCTGATGCAAGGATTTCAGTCACTTTTTTTTCGCATTTTCTTCAGTGCGACTTGTTCTCGGCTTTGGTGCACGTGGAGCGTCTTCATTGTCCTCCCTGCCTTCACGAAATACAGCATACCATCGAAGAATGTTCGAGCGACTCAAACATTCACTACCGTATACACTTTTCATCATTTCCTACGCTTCTCCGGCTGTTTTGCCTAACTTCAAACATAATTTGATGTTGGCTCTCTGTTCAACCGCCATTTTCCGACGAGAGTCAGAACAGTACTGTTACATTCAAGGTCAGAACACATGATGCAGCGATACTTGCGCTTTGCAATAATAGAGAGCCACAGCTGAAACGTCAAGAATCTTAACGCCACAACTCGCTAACAGATGACATTGCAGGGCAAAAAAAAAAAAAAGTCCTAACGGATCCTGGACACACCGTGTATATGGGACATCTGGGATTCAAATTGGCGTTAGGTTACCAGCTATACCGACTGAGGGTTTTCGTGGTTCTCAATCCCTCTAGGCAAATTCCAGGATCCTGTCCCAAGTCAGACCATGATTGCATCGTTCTCAATCCTTTACAATCTATTATCCACCAATCATCCTACCATTCAACACTATAACGTGTTATGACAATAAAGTTCGCGTACTCAGAAATGTTACACGCCTCATTGCTAAATATCACTGTGGGCGCCTTCAAAATACTCCCCTTGGGTAGCTATGTACTGATACCGGCGCCTAGTCCACCCTTCAAAACAAATGTGGAACTCCTTTTGTGGACTGGCCTTTAGAGTTGCCGTCGTATTACTCCTGATGTCATCATGTCATCAAAATGCCTTCTCTTCAATATTTCCTTTATCTTCATGAACAGAAAGAAAGTATTGGGGGCTAGATCTGGTGTATAGGGAGGGTGTTCCAGCACAGTTATTTGTGTACTAGCTAAAAGCTCCCTCACAGACAGTGCTCTAGTTCAAGCTCCGACAGTCTCGAGACGGCACACCAAAACACTCATACAATAATAGATGCCACTCAGAAAGAGACTTCCATAGAGCAACAACAGCACAGCTGGGAAACGATGATATGCGAACGTCATCAAACCACATTCAGATTTCCATCCGCTGCTGCCACGGCAAGCACACGGTGGAGAGTTCGCGAACTTTATTGTCAGTCCTTATCCTGAGCTACTGAACGTATTCAAAAATAAACTTAAATAAAGATGAAATTCGTGTTGGAGCGTGAAAAATCAAATCACTGCTACACATGCTGCTATTTGTACCGTTCTGGTGCTTTTAATTAAGAATACAAATGGGGAGCGAACGTGTAAACCACACGCATTCTTATTTTCAGCGCTAGCTGAAGCAGAATGGACAGCTTCATGCCCCAACTGCCTTATGCCAAGGAAGAGGGCCTCCAGTACTCATTGAACTTCCCGACATGTAACATAATACTGTGTAGTGATCTACTAGTTAATTATTTTTCTTCATTCCAAACGTTATCGGCCGTCAAGTTTGCTGAGTCATCTACAAAATTTGCATGCGCTTAGCGGCCGGCAATTTCCCGGTAGCGGTGAAGCGCGGAGCCGTGAAGACGTCAGTAGCTTTAAAAGCTTCCATGTATTCATTCATTCATCAGTAATCTGTCAGACGACACATCCACAGTCTCTTCCAAAACAGTTCCTCCACTTAATGCGATCTAGAGCATTCTCCTTCAAATGAGAATATCCTCTTCTGACCCCAAGGTCATCCAGCATCTTCTTACGTCTTCTTCCTCGTCTTCTGGTCACTTCTATTCGCCCCTCTATCTTTCCTTCAATAACTTCTTTTAGGAGGCAGTTACTGCGTAAGATATGACCAATCCAATTAGCCTTCTGTTTTCTTATTTCGTGTAGGATATTCCTCTTCTCACCGACTCTAAATAACACTTCTTCATTTCTCACATAATCGGTCCAACTTATCTTCTCCATCCTTCTCCAACACCACATTTCGAAGCTTTCCAGGTGTTTCTGATCTACTGCCCTATGTGTTCAAGTTTCAGCCCCATACAACGCCATGCTCCAAATGTAGCATTTTACTAGTTTCTTTCTCAAATTTAAGTCCAATTTGCTGGTAAAAAGATTCTTCTTCTTGCTAAATGCAGCTTTTGCCACGGCAATCCTAGATTTAATTTCACAAGTACACCTTCCATCATCTGTTAACAAGCAACCCAAATATTTAAAACATTTCACATTCTCCAGTTGTTTTTGGTCTATCTTTATTGTGACTGGGGTTGGTTGTCTCGAAATTTTCATTACTTTTGTTTTCTCCACATTCATTTCCATGCCATAGCACCTTCCAATTTCGATTAGTCTATCAATCATGCCCTGTAGCACAGTTTCTTCCTTNCTTCTGCCAGTCTATAAAGCAAGCACACAGTTCTTCATCTATCTTCTAAGTTCGTTCTGCTATAATTCTCATCATCCCAATTGCATCCCTCGTTCCTTTTCCTCTTCTAAATCCAAACTGATCCTCTCCAAGTATATCCTCTATTTTCCTTTCAGTTCTTCTTTTAAGTATCTTTGCTGTATGTGCAATAAGGCTTATTGTGCAATGGTCGCTGCATCTTGTAGCTTTTGTCTTTTTCTTTAAGGCAATCATTGTCACTTCTGTAAAGTCCTTGGGCCACTCCCCAGTTTCATATATGGTGTTTATTAGTTTTGTCAGTGTTTTCAAACCACCTTCTCTCAGTAACTTAAGCACATCTCCAGATATATCATCATCTCCTGCAGCCTTTCCATTCCTCATGTCCTTGATAGCTTTTTCCACTTCACTGTGTAAAATATATGGTCCTTTCTCATCTGTATCTACTTCTTCTTCCGGTTCCACTTCCAAGGTTTCTGGCCGATTAGGTTGATCATATAGTTCTGTAATATAATTCTCCCAAATTTTCAGCACTTGCCTCTGATCTACTCTTCTATTTCCCTGGGAGTCTTGGATGCCAATATCTTGAATTCCATGGTTCTCTTTCCATCCTAGTTCTTTTGTCTTCATGTACATCAAATCATCCTTTGAAATTCTATAATCTCATTACATATCTTCTCAAGATATTCCTTTTTGGCCTTGTCCGTGGCTCTTTTCAACTCTTCCATATATATGAGGTTAGATATGCCCCGTAGCCAGTTAGGACACCGTGGAGAAGGAAAATCCCAGTCTCTACCAAGAATTTAACCCTGATTCCCTGCTCATCCAGCCTTGTCATTATGCTTACTGAGCTATCCCAGCTCCTCTCTGTTGTACTACCATCTTCATTAACAGCTTGGACACTCAAGCTTACTGGAATGAATAAAATAATTTTAGCTTTGTTTTGTTGCAGTTTCTATTAAACGTACTGTTTTACTGTTGTGTAGTTCAGCTGCCAGCATAATCAAAAAATATTTAGATTTTTATTTTATGCTGAATTTATCATAGCATGAAGTTAATTTTATAGCGCTTATATGAAAACCAGACATTTTTTCTATGTTCTTTGTGTGAAAACGCGTGTAAAATTCAAACCTCAAACAAAATGCACATGTGTTTTGGAAGCATATGCCAAATAATGCCAGCAGCCTGCATCTCTATCACGAGAATATTTTCATACAACCTCTTTGTATTATGATATTCAGGACATTCCACTTACTTGTGTCCCATTAGTGAGTATAACTAGAAGTTGTCACAGTCTGTCATATTCAGGGGTGTGCTAGCATCATCCACCAGTTTTGCTAGCATGCATGGGGAGAAGAGGAATGCATATAGGGTTCTGCTGGGAAAGCCTGAAGGAAAGACATTACTTGAAAGACCTAGACTTAGATCGGAGGATAATATTGCGATAGATCTTAGGATGGTATGGACTGGATTGATGTGGCTGAGGACAGGGTCCAGTAGAGGGCTCTTGTGAAGACGGTAATGAACCTTTGGGTTCCATAAAATATTGAGAAGTTCTTGAGTAGCTGCACCACTGGTGGCCTTTCAAGAAGAGCTTAGTTCCATGGAGCTTGTTTAGTTCATCACTTCATTAATGATGCACATATGTACACGCACGCACACATATTTTTTGTATTTCTAGAAAGTACAAGACTAATATATTGGCATTTAACAACTGAACATGTAAATTTATAGTTACAATTTTGGCAGTACGCCCCTGTCTGTATTAACAAAATGCCATATTTTGAGACACCTGCTGTATTATTGCATGTTAACAGTTGCCATAAATGCGTGAAATATGTCAGTGGGATTTTAGTTATTCGTTTTGTAAAGATGTCTGTCCTGAAGAAGAGTACTGGCCTTTGAGATATGATGCCCTGTAGTTCTGTGACAGAATTTTACCAGTATTTTGGAGGAATCTTCTATCTCCATCTTCAGAGTGAAAGAATAAACCAAGAAAGTAGCCTGCAATAGTAAGTGACAAGCAGAGCTCGTTTGGCTTACTCCCGAACCTTGAACATGGAAACAATGTGTTCTTTCCAAGTTTACATAAATTACCAGACTGTGTGACACATATCTCAGAAGACTGCACTCTTTTTACACACATACATGCATACATATGAGGAAGAGTCATTAATTAAGTCACAACGGGATATAAAATGTAAAATACATGATATTCGAACCTGCAAAAACATTTATTTCTTGGCACATCCTCCACCAACACTGATGCACCTGTCCCATTGCTTTACAAATGCATCAAAACCCGCAGCATAGAAGTCTTCTGACTTTTGCACCTCTGTTTCAACCTCTTCGTCATCAGCAAAATGTTTGTCAACCCAGTTATGAGTGACTTTACATGACAAACACTTTCCACCTTAAACAGGAAGCAGTTCTTTATGAATATTCTTTGCATTGAGTCCTTTTGCCCCCTCCCAAAAAAAATACATACAAACACAACAGGCTGCTGCTCTTCGGTAATATACTCCTCAAGCACGGTCACCATTTTCACTGCTGAAATGAGCCTCTGAACATCCGCATGCACATCTTCTATCTAGACTGTCATGAAGCTGGACTGTGCTGCTACCTAGTTGTACACACGGAAAACTGGTTATATCCATTACAGCTATTTTATTTCTGTTTGCGACCTATTTACTGACTCTCCCTACATACATATTACATCCCTTGGATCCATAGTTAGTCAAAATTATGGGTAGATGTAGGATAAGCAATAAAAAAACAATACATACGTACATGTACAGCAACACTGAAACTTTCATGTGAAAAAATGATGTAAAATGAAAGAGTTCTGGAAGAACTTTCCTTTCATGTGACAGGTACAACAAGAAAGGGGAGGTGGGGCTGTACACATACAGAAGAACAGGGTGCAACCATTCGGCTTTCAGGAATTAAGGGGGGATACACAGACATACAGACAGCAAGTGATCTCATAAGTCTCCTTTCATTTTTTAAATAAGGAAAGTAGGTCTATGAAAGATAAAATATTCACACAGGGTTCATATAAGGCATTCAAATGCATCCACACATATACAGTAATATTATTCCCTTATGATAATTATACAGATCTTTAAGAAAATTATGAAAACCACAAGTCTCATGACTGCATGATAGGAATAAACTATTAAATTTCATTTGGTTCTGTCGACTATACTGTTAATTGTGTGTATATTGATGTAAAGTTGTTGTTTTTGCAGTACATCCTGAATGTAACAGCAGATCTGCCAAATGTGTTCGAAGACTCTGGGTCCATCAAATATATGAAAATACCAATTGCAGACCACTGGAAAGAAAACTTAGCCAGTTTCTTTCCAAAAGCCATAGAATTTATAGGTAAGCTCTTTTTATACTATGGTAATATTTGAGTTGGTTAGAAGTAATTTGAAAATTATTTTTAGAAGGTTTCAAGAATGCCCCCTTTTACAGTGAGAATGTGTTGCAGAAGGTTTAATGACAGTGTTGTGTTACAGTTCAAAATATTGTGTGTGCTCTTCCAATGTCTGATGTAATGGAAAAGAAATTGTAAGCATAATGTTTTGTATGTAAATTTTCTCTTCATTCATTCATTCATTCATTCACCTTCATCTTTAATGCAACTTAAATATGTTCACAATGTCTCTTTAATTTAAAGGAGCATTAAGATCACATCAGTTGCCACATATTTCGGCCTTATTTGGCCATCTTCAAGCAACTTTTCGGTTTTTGAAACCTTTGAACTGCACTAGATCTCAGGTCAATATATTTCCATGCCATTGCATTATCGTTATTCACACTAAAATGTGTTTCTTTGAGAATGAGACTCGCTCTCCGTTCTATGTTATTTTCATTTTGCGATGTCCATATTTCTATAATGTATATGTTCATTGTCTATGGAAAGCTATATCATTATTATATGAATTTGCTATTTGTATATGTCTGTATGTTATTTTCTTAGGTACTTAAGTGCCCCCCTTATGTATATTTTCACTAGTTGGGCGTGTCCCTTGTATGGCTATTCAGTGTGATTGTTTCCACTTATATATCTTTTCTGGGGGTGTCTGTGCTGCTAAGTGTCATGTAGTTTTCTCTTCACATTCAGGCATATTACTATGTTTCCTGCATCTTGTTTTGTTCATGCTGCAGTTTCTTGCGTGACTGGATATCGGAGGTACATATTCCTACGGAATGTTGGGCCTCAAATCCAAATTAGTACTTCCACTAAGGGGCGAGGGCTCTTGTGAACACAGTAATGAACCTTCAGGTTCCATAAAATGCTGAGAAGTTCTTGAGTAGCTGCACAATTGGCAGCTTCTCAAGAAGAGCTCAATTCCATCAAGTTAGTTAGTTAGTTAGTTAGTTAGTTAGTTAGTTAGTTAGTTAGTTTGTTTGTTTTAGTCAGTCGGAGACTTTTCAGCTCCTTATGTGTGCCATAGTGCAAAGGTTAATCCTTCAAACAGATGTGTTTCTGTGGAAAATGTCTGCAGATGCATTGATATTTTTATCAGATCTTTTCTTTAACTGATATTATGAAATATGTTAGTAACCCTTGTAATAATATTAAAGTTTTTTGTTCATACCCATAATGTTATTTATGTTATTTAGTTTTTGGTATTATGTGTGCTGTGTATTTTCCCTGTCTTCTTTGTCCATGTCTGTTCACATTTCCTGATGAATTTCCTTTCATCAGTTCTTGTAAATGGCTTTCATCTGTTCCCAGGCACTTTAATAAATGAACTGAGTTAAGTAATTATTGTAAACCAGAAATTGCCTTTGAATCTTATCACGTTAGTTTTCTTGGTTGAAATTCTTAGATTATACATTTTACTGATGCTGTATAAATGAAATCTGTAACTTGTCCTTTCTTGTATGAAAATGTTATCATTCAGAAAGGTTAATACATTGATCTTGTTTTCTTAGTCATTTCTGTCTTCTATCTTTTCTTATGTGTCAAAATATTTTTTTTGTGAGTCATCTCTCTCTCCTGAACATCTCATTATTTAGGTTTGCGTGAAATTGTTAGCAAGTAACGTGAAACAGTCTGCCATCATGGGCAGAGTTTGACTTGTTGCTCCGACTGTACTTGTCAGTGTGACTCTGGTGATCTGAATGGAGCAGGTGGTGTAGTGCCCTCTTTCCAGGCTGTACACAGTGGGGGGGTGAGAGATGCGATTCTAGGAGATCAATAAAGTGGGCTGTGGCCTCCATTCGCCTACACTCTCAGTCACTCCTCTGTCCCCTCTTGTCCTTTCCTCCCCTATAGTTGCTTCCCCCTCCACATTCTACCGTTTCCTAGTTTCCCCTCTCCCATTTCATTTCCCTTCTCAGTGTCAGTATAGTTTCAGTTTTCAGAAAATAAAATTTCAGGCTTTTAATTTTAGTATAAAGTTACGGTTTTTTTTACATTCATTTGAATGGGATATGATGCCATTATAGTCTGGTAAAACCTTACCAGCATTTCATTGGTTATTTTTGCCTCCTTCAGGTTTGAAGAGTAAGCCAAGCAAGCAGTAAGACAGAATAACCTCTTCTTGCTCTCTTTTTATTGACTTAAAAGTTTGAACTTGAAGTTGGAGGCAATATATTCCTCTGAAACATCATCACTTTTCTGCCAAACTGTATAGCTTCGCAACCCACAAGTACTTGTCATTAGTGACTGACATGAAGACCTCAAAACTCGTTACATTTATTGCATTGATGATATCAACATTAATGCCCTTTTGACCCAGTTCCTTTTATGGTATGCTGTCCTGAAAATTAGTTTGTATCACACTACGCTGATCACATGAAGGAGCAAGTCCATTTGTGGGGGTGGATTGGTAGTTCCATTGTACCTTTGTTTAGCCTTATTGAATGCCATTACTTTAGCATTCTGTGTTTCCTGCTAATAGAGCAAGTAAATGTTGTATGTATTTAGTAACCTTTACCCCCCTAGATTAGGAATATATGATTTCTCATCACCCATTAATCCACCCAGATCCACCCATAGTCATTCTTGATGGACACCGGACTGAGAATCAATACTCTGCAGTGATTCAGTAACTATTCATTCATGAGAACTGAGCTGCAGTGAATGTCTTTTTGTGTTTATGTATGTGTTTTACTCAAACAATGAATGGGGAAATGCATGAATCATTGGGAACATGAATAAAGATGACAAAGGAACAGATATGTTGCAAGTCTTAACATTGTGTATTTGAAACTGCAGTGTGGATTTATAATCTATGGTACTCACAGCTGTTGTTATGAAGAGTGCTGTCTTCTGGCATGTGATGTCACGCACTCTGGTAGAAATATTATGTTTTTGGACATTATCCATCGTCCTGTTTATATTTCAAAGAGTTAGGGAGTAGCTCTATCGATAGAGCCCAACAGAGTAGTTTTTACCTGAAGATGGAGACAGAATGCAGTTTTCGAAATGTTGTGTTTTGAAATATAAACAGGACGGTGTTTTATATGAGAACAGGACAATGGATAATGTCCAAAAATATAATATTTGTACTCATATACCATCATCACTAACTTTTATATCTTATTTACTCTGGTAGAAGTTTTCCAACATTTCAGGGGAATATACCGCCTCCATCCTGAGGGTTTAAGTATAAGCTGAGTCAAGCAAGCAGTCACTCTGCTTATTGCTTCCTTGACTTTCTGCTTGGTCATGAAGATGGAGGTAGCACATTCTGCAGAAATACTGGTTGACTTCCACCAGACTTTACAACTTACGTATTCGAGAAGATATGAGTCCAGTACTCTTTAAATTTTAATGGTTGGAGGAGCAAGTACCTTTTCAAGGTAGAACACTTATTTTGAATGAATACAATTTATATTGTTTGTGTAAAATTCTTTGAGGCCCTGTTATATTTTGAACAGGCAAACTTACAGAGGGGCCCTCTGTGTTCAGTGATATCTGTAATATGCTGGTTTGGGTTCCCATCATGTTGTGAAAACTGTAGCCTCGAAGGTGTTTTAGACATAGTCTAGCCCTGTTTTGTAGTATTAATCCTTTACAATATGCTGCATGGAAATTTTATAGGAAATGTAATCTTTCTGGCAGGTCTTCAAATTTAGGAGGGAGTCTGTTTGATATAAAAAAAAAAGGTTTATGCAGTTCTGTAAAATCGAGTCTCTTCCAGTGAACTGCAACTCCATTTCATGAAATTAAATTATAAATACTCATAATATTATGGATAGTTAAATAATTATGTATAATTGTGGCAGAGTATGACATTAGTGTATTTACATGCAGGACCAGGGCAAAACATGGGGCATTAAGAATAAGATATGAACATATATACCTGTCTTTGATTAGTTAAAAGTAAAGGTGTCCCTGTTCTTAATTTATTAAGTACCACACCATGAAGATGTATGAGTGAGTGGAGATATAGCTGCACTATTCTTGACCTTGGCACTAGATGGAGGTGAGTGTTCAGCCTCTCGCACCAGCCGGTTTTCCCCTGGTGAAAGAGCCATTGTGTAGGAGGCTGGTTGGGCCCCAGAGTAAGCCTGGAAGTCTTTGATTAGTTACAGTACATGAAAGAGGGAAATTTAATTTTGACCTACTTTCATGATTGTTTTGTTAGGGGGTGACTAGCATTGCATTAAGTGGTCAGTTGAAATGTACTGAAATGCAGATATCTAAAAGTGACAATGGTAAATAAGTGGGGAATTGTGTGTGCATTATAACAGTTATGGCATGTGTGTTCAGTTGTTTTATTGTCAATGAAAGCTGTAAACTTAGGAAAGTATATTGACACATAAGATGTGTGTTTCATTTTCATCCACAATCTTTGTTTGAGACTTTACAGTTACAGGCTAGTTACACCAAAGTTACATGCATAGTTGCATGTACTTCTTTATGTAAAGTGTTTGTTATTGTTGGGTAATTTTAAAAATGCTCACAAAACTTATTTACTGGTTCATGTGAAGTTTCATAGAACTCACATAGTGATGAACAAATGAAGGATGTGCTTTCCAGTTATGTAAAGGTGCTTCAGAATGATGTTTATGATGTATGAAACAAAGGGCAAAGAAAATGTGAAATTTCTTATGATTAGTTGCTTAAAACACTTTGATTTTCCACAGAACTGAACTCAGAAGGGTTTGAATGTCCGTGAAACATTTTCAATTCCTGTCAGTTAAGAACAGAAATTGAGAGAATTTAGAATGAAGGCATGAACATTGCATATACCGTTGTTTGAGTTGTAATGTCAAGGAGGTGAAGGTGGCCTGAAATACACACACATCTCACACTGCACATCTCACACCACAGACCACACACTTCACACTTCACACCTCACACACAGAGTTTCTATTCGAAGAATTTGAAGACCAAAGCATATGTGAGCATGTAACATTGAAATGGGTTTGAAGTATTTAGGTTATGGTGATGTAAGGTGGCTTACGCTTACATAAAGTGAATGCCCAGCATCCTGTTTCTCTTGTGGCAGTGGTGCACATTTGCGATCCACAATACCATATAGTAAGCAAGTACTGATATTACTAAACAGTATGTATGTCTGTGTTCAAGAAATATGACTAGAGCACTGCTCCAAGATTCTGATTTTATATCCAGAATTGTTGTTAGAATTATCAATATTTGTTTACCAAACTACATGGCATCAATGTGCAGAAGCCTGTTTTCTTTAAGTAATAACTGACATGAAAACATTAGTATTTATCCTTTTTCACATGAGTAGATTTTATTCTGTGCTCCAAGACCAGAGTTCTAGGCTACAGATTCAGAGGTTTGGGTTTGATTCCTGGCCCTACCAGATTTTCTGAGAAGTAGTGGGTCTGGAACAGGGTACACTCAGCCTTGAGAGGATAATTGAGGAGCTATTTCAAGGAAATAGCTGCTCTGGCCTAGAAAACCGAAATTAACGGCCGTGGGTATTCGTTGCGACACCCCCAATCTGCTAAAGTTGGCACTAACTTCGCCGACAAGCGGCAGTCGCTCAGTCGGTATAGTTCACTTGCGGACTAAAAGCACGGAGTTTATAACATTTGAGGATGTAGGTTGGGAGGATATTATTGAAATGGACCTTAGAGAGATAGTTTGGGATGGTATTCATTGGATTCATCTGGTTGGGGATAAGGACCAAAGGAAGGGTGGGCTCTTGTGAACACAGTAGTGAACATTTGGGTTTTGTAGAATGTTGAGAGAAATTCTTGAGTAGCGGAGCAACTGGCAGTTTCTCAAGAAGGACTCAGCTCCGTGGAATTGGTTGGTTAGTTAGCAATTGAGGCACTAAGTTTTCAACAGAATGCTCTGTTTTTAGCCTGATACTAACATAGTGCTTTTTCTTTCTGGAAAAACGGTAGCAACACTTGCAAAGCAAAGCACTTTTAACCCCATTTTTAGCCCTCTTTCCTTGCTTGCAGAAATTAGGTACTGGTGCTGTACCACCAGAAAGAAACCACTGCTAACATGAAGTTAGCTTTGCTGTACTTACTTTTAACTGTTCTCATGTTACAGATGAGGCACGCAGCAATGAGAAGGGTGTTCTGGTGCACTGTCTTGCAGGAGTATCTCGCTCAGTCACTGTAACAGTAGCCTACCTCATGTACAAACTTTCCCTAAGTCTGAATGATGCATTCAACATGGTCCGTGCACGCAAGTCCAACATAGCACCCAACTTCCATTTCATGCAACAGCTACATAATTTTGAATGTGAGCTGACCAGATCACCAAAGGCTGCACCGAATCCTACTCAAGGTATGTTGTCCACGCATGTGGTATTCTCTTCAGCTTTACATAAGGCCACATTTCTATACTAGTGAATCCCATTCATGTTAGCTGTTCGATACCTTTGTATGTCAAACTAAGTTTGAAGCTTTGTGACAGGTGGGAACGGTATTACTGACCCTTAATGCAGAGACCTAAAGTTTTGCGTGGTGGTAATAATAATAATAATAATAATAATACTAATAAGAG